TGGGCTGTGGACCACAAGGTCAGCAGTTCAAAACTACCATGGGAGAAAGATGAGGCTTTCTGCTCCCGTAAAGATTTACAGCTTTGGAAACCCTGTACAGGGTGGCAATGAGTCCGAACCGACTCCACGACCCATAACAACAACAATGGAGTTGTGGGCAGCATGGATGAACTATGTAGGTGATGTGCTCCTGTCCCACTGTTGCCTTGCCAACAAGACGTTTCCACTTATCACTTGAGTCTTTTGGGCAACCCAGGTTGGCCTTTACTATCTATGCTCATTTTTTTTTTTAGCTAAGGGTTCTCAGCTTTGACTGTACCTTGAAATGACTTGGGAAATTTCTTCCGAAAAATAAAAACTGCACATATCTTACTCCTAGAAATTCTAATTCTGCAAGTTTGAAGTGGGGCTTGATATATTTTGACTCAGAATAGTCTACTTTTTAAAAAAGGTTTCTTTCTCTTTTTTTGTAGCCCTTTCATGACCAAGTTATTTTGCTTGTTAGGTTTGGGTGGATTAAGGTTTTTCAGTAATGGAATACATACTGAATTGTTGAGTCATGGTAAAACTGTTAGGTAAGAGGGATTTTGATAAATATTATATATGGGACAGATATGTCCCACTGCACTCTGTTGGTAGAGTAGGTGGGATGAGTCTAGAGAAAAGTCATTTGTTCTAAGCAAACTGTTTAATTGTATGAAACTTCTGGCAACATGGACTTGCACATAGGGCACCATGTAGTAACTGCACATAATTGTGGTTTGAATCTCTTTTCTTAATGATGCATTCTCTGCACCACTAAGGTAAATGCTTTCCAAGCTGTTGGAGCTATACATCATTTGGCACAGTGCTTACTACTGACTTGTTCTTTACAAGAAAGGAGGGTCTTCCTATTATTTTGATTTACAGGCCCACAGTACGCTGCCTAATAAGGGTGAAGGAAGCTGGTCGAACCTTGCCTCTCCCTCCCAATGTTACATGGTTTGCTGATGAAAACACCTGGGGGGTTAGGGAGTTTGCATCTACATAGAGCATCATGCCTGAAAGTAAGTTTTCCACTTAAAATTATATCATCACCAAAAACACAACTTCCAAACAACACACAGGAAACCCTACACAAGGCTTACCTCATTGTACAAAAGCCACAAAAGACAAAAATTTCCACGTTTACACTTCTGGGATGCAACCTCTTATTCAATACCGAATGTTTCTTCAGTTATACATGTCCCCACCAGATGCCAGCAAATATTATAAATGGAACACTACTATCCCAGGACACAAAGTAGGTATATGTAAGTGTACCATGTATGTCCTACTGGTCATGGAAGATTTTAGTCTCTAATAATATAGTCATACAGAAGTGCACCTGACCCAAGCCATGGTATTTTCAATCGCCTGATGTGCGTGTGAAAGCTGGACCATTAATGAATAAGGAAGACAGGAGAACTGATGCACTTGAATTATGGTGTTAGTGAAGAATATTGAAAGAACTATGGACTGCCAAAACAAACACGTCTATCTTAAAGGAAATACAGCCAGAATGCTCCTTAGATGTGAGGATGGCAACACTTCGTTTCAAGTACTCTGGACATGTTATCAGGAGGAACCAATTCCTAGAGGACATTATGCTTGGTAAAGAAGAGAGCCATCAAAAAAGAGGAAGACCCTTTTGTGTCAACCCAAGAGATGGCATGACACAATGGACTCAAGCGTAACAACTGTGAGGATGGCGCAGGACCAGACAGTGATCTGTTCTGTCATACATAGGGTTACTATGAGTCAGAACTGCCTCATTGGCACCTAACAACAATAGAAAAGTATATATAAAATGTGTATGTTTGTGTATAATATAATAACGTTTTTGGTACTGGGAGCCAGAAATGGAATACAAATTTATACATTTTATATATACCTTTCTGTACTACTGTATTAATGGACATTGTAACCTTGCATTGACTTTGTGTTACAAATGGTTAAACACTCAGCTGCTAACCAACCAACCCACCAGTCTGTTTCCACAAAGATTACTGTTTGGAAACCTATGGAGCAGTTCTACTCTGTCTTATAAGATCTCAGTGAGTTGGAATTGGCTCAATGGCAGTGGATTCTTGATTTATACGTGTATGTGAATAGATAGAGAGAAAGGAACAGAGAGAGAGAGGGAGCGAGTCAAAGAGTTAGTTAGTACCTAGGTGGTTGGTGCAAATGGTTAAGTACCTGGCTGCTACTGAAAGGTTGGTGGTTTGAGTACACTAAAAGGTACGTACCTTGAAAGAAAGCTCTGGGGATCTACTTCCAAACAACCATTGAAAACCCTATGGAGACTATAGGTGGAAGCCTGAACCACATCCAGATCTCCAGAGATGGGAAATTCCCACTTGAAAGGACAAGCAGACCAACCTGGAGTGGCTAGAAG